CAAAATGTCTCCCAAAGGACCTATTTGTAAATATTACCAGAACACTATGCACTCATTACCATCACAACACATCATAGGTCCAACATGATCATGGCATCACAGGAAAAAGGTCTATTTGTTCCTTACTTTGCACAAAGAGAAATGTTCAAGAAGGAACTCTTGAAGGGAGAATCATTCTGATTAGTAGGGCTCTTATTGGGATAAGTTTCCATGATTAGGGTAATGTGTCTCACGTTTGCCTGTGTTATTTTCCAATAATGATTCTTCCTAATGTTTCTTTTTTCATTTCATATTGATTTTTTTTTACGTACAACATTGCATTTGTACATACTAGGACAGATATATCATAATGTTTTAATTGCTGTTGAGAATGAAATTGTTAAAGTTTTTATTAGTTGTTTGGTGAAAAATACATTTATAGATATAGAACCTTCATGTGCGCTGAGTCATTCTTTTAATTGGATCTCGTTTAGAACAATGTAATTTTGTGCTTAGTGTTGTCGAAGAAAGCAGTGTGGAAGAAGTGGCATTTACTAAAAGACTTAACACTGAAGTGGATACGGCGATGAGGCAGCTTGTGAAATAAATGTCAACCAAAAGTAGTCATATTTCTGGCATAATTATTTGCTTTACTGCCAAAAAAGTAGGCCTATCCTGGCGATATGATGGTCCAAAACATCTTTGTACGGATTAATTAATGTAATTTGTTTATTTCTGTTCATCCAACAGCACATTTAGCGCCAATTACAGGATGAAATGGCAATTAAACAGTGAAGAAAAAAACGATCAGTTTTTGGATGGAAGAAAAATCCAGGATAGATGTTCTAGGGAAAACCCAAGGAATCAGGCGGGGACTGGAAATCAAACCTCATACAGACCTCGGTAGGATTCGAACCAGGGTTGTAGAGGTGAAGGCGAGGAAAGAGCTGGTACATCAACAAGACTTCCTAGCCCAAGTATGGTGCTTTCACTAGTTGTAAATTTTATGCAGCTGTTGATCTCTAAAAGTATGAAAAACAACTTTATTATATCCAGAAATCAGAGATAATCATTCCGCCTTGAATGCCAGGTGCATCACTTGTAGTACATGCGTATTTTGAGAATGGGCCACCTAGTCCCACAAATGTTGTAACGGGGGCTCGAATATCTGAAAGTTAGCCCCCCCCCCGGCTAGATTTATAGCGCTTCCCGAAAGTTAATGCTTCGCGTTAAAAGGCTAGACTTGGACAAGTCAACTGTACGCCTGCTTGATTCCGGCTCGAGAAAAAGTACAAGGCTGCTACATAGAAGTGCGTGAAGTTTTTCAAATTCCTTTCAGCACCCAAACAGCTGGGTGCGGAGTCGACCACTCCCTTGATATTTTCTCTGATATTCTTGCAATGCAGTTTCCCCGCGCCAAGCAGTTGGGACATTTCTTATAAGGTCTTACAATCATCTCGACACCAATTTTATAAAAATTGAACATACCGTTCTCTTGAACCCCCCCCCCCGCCTGGTCATTCCCGGTCTGCACGGTTTCTGACGTGCTCAGTGCAAGCGGATTGCCACGCAATGACTGTAACAAACCTAGAATTGGATTGAATTGGAACTTCACAGGTGTACAGACTTTGAATGTTTCTACATGAAAAAAAAAATCAAGTTTCAAAAAGGTCAGGCACGGGACAGCACTGCCGAGCTCTCGAGGGGTGGAGGAGGCACCCTGCCCGGCTCTTGAGATGAGGTACATCGTAGGACAAATTATTATATTGCATAAGTGTCTTTTGGCCATTAATTACATTACTGTCTTTATAGTGAGCCAACGGAGAATAGACCATGTGTAAGCATTTTGGGGGACGTTGACAAACGGTACGGGAAACGAATCTTGTGGTGAGTTCCGTATGATTTTTCTCAACCATGGGTGCCACGCTAATCGCTGTGACCAAGGGGAAGGAGCCAAGAAAAATAAACACTAATTTTGCAGTGAAATAATAATAAAATGGCATGAAGGCTGTCGATATACGCCTGTGCCTCGAGCAACTATTATATTTATTGTGTATCAGCCCTTACGTTTTCTGTACCCAATAGTTAAAGTTTGAAGTTAAATTTTATTTCCTCTCATTTGGAAGAGAACCCAGAGCCCTTTTCAAAAGTAAAAAAAAAACTTCAAGAAGACAATCACCCGGAATAAACTGTACATTTTCGGGACGCAGAAAAGTGCGCCATTTTACCTTCAGACTGCGTAATTATGTGGAGGTAGCTCCACAGTAATTAATGTTCTTTTTTCGTATGGGTCAGAACAGTAGCAGCCGATACGACAATTCCTTCTATTTGCTTCCGCGGGTCAAGGAATTAGTGGGGTGGAGACTCGGAGGGAGTCCTGCCGTGCAACTCTCCCATCATGGGGCTGGAGTCATAGAGACCACGGCGTACTGTCTGCAGTGACTGCCGATGGGCGTAGTCCCCCATGCCCAAGTTGAAGCAGCCAACGTATGTGCGTAGTCGATTGTGTTTCCCACCTAATTTTCATTAACATCAAGGTTATAGCTCAAATGGGAAAAAGACTGGGTTTTGAAATCTATCTGAAAGACGCTGGGCATCACTTCATCATAACTCCCTGAAGAATTTTGAAACGCGCTAAATTAGAAGGCTCCGGGAGCAATAGACCGACAGGTCTATTGCTAAAGTGATGAAAGTGGTGAATATTTATAGCCAGTGCGCTTAGCAAGATTACAATTAAAAAAGAAATACAAGCCATCCATCTTGAAACCGAGACGAAAAAGGCTCTCTAATTAATTTTAGTTATTTCTTTGCGTTTATTCACAAAAGAGGGCGCTACGTTTTTACCATAGAAATCTACCAGTCCTGTGGTCTGTGTAAAATGTACATGCTTGTCCTGCATACCCACTTCCTCAATGGTTCAACCGTGACGTCACTTTAAAGTCCGCCATTTTGAATACAAAATTAGGGAGTCACCCATCGCAAATCTTCTGCTGAACTGAGTGAGACTAGAGGTGTTTCCCGTAAAGTTTCTCCCGGTAAGGCAAATTTATCCCTTTTAATTACAAAATTAGGTTACGCTTGTCGTATTTTTGACAGTTTATGGACTAAAGACATTTGTTGTCACATTTTGTCAGTAGTTTGGAGTTTGAAATGTTGATAGGCTTGGTGAAGTTCACGTTTGACGTGTTTCATTACTTGCCCCACATACTGATCATGCTGACAATGAGCTACAGTGATTTCCTGCTGTCAAAGTGTCATCTTTTTGTATGCACCTACATGTACTTGATACATGTGCGCACTATAAGTAGGGCCTACACGTAGGACCCACTCTGAATATGTACGTGTTGGCGGCTTGCACTTCTTTTCAGACAAACGTCTTCAGCTACATTAGCATTGTATTTGTAAAATTGCAGAATGTAGGCTAGGCCTACCATGCCTACCCTAACCATGCTAACCATTGCTAACTACTGTGCCATGACTGCCTAACATACATGTACATGACATACCCAGGGCCTAATCATGAATGGTGTGCAAACCCGGCGAACTGAAGCTGAAACTCACTTGACATCTGTACACAAACATAATAGTTACTAGTAATAGAGCCAAGGCCTACATGTAGAGAGTGTTTTCTGAGTAGGCCTAGGCCTACCACTGCCAGTAGGCAGTAAACACTTAATTATTTTTGCAGCCAACTTTGACTTTTTAGGACATGTTGCTACTTTCTGATGCCTTATAAACTGCTGCAACGTAAGTGATGTCTGTACTAAGTTGTAGGCCTATGTGGATCTCCACCATCTATTTTGCCATCTGGGGAAATCGGACATTTCGTGATAATTGATATACATGTGCACATGTACATTGTAAGGCTACATGCATACTTGTAGGCCTAAACATAAGTTTAGGCCTAAACTAAACCCATGTGTAAGCTAAGCCCTTTTTACATGTTTTACATACTGAATAAACCCTGCAACATTTTTTAACGTTAAAAATGCAAAACAGTGGACAGTACGACTGAAGCCTAATTGCCTGATTTTTTCCCCCCGCGGAAGGGGCCAAGCAGGACTTGGCTAGTGTGTACATGTAGAGTACTACTATACATGCAAAAAGGGTAAAAGTTATTTTAGGCTAACAGTCCTGAGTTCTCTTGATGATTTTTCTAAAAATATTTATTCAACGAAAATAAGTTTGGACAAACTGTTGGACGATTTTAGCTATTTCTACATGTACCTCCATGGTCCGAGCCAGATTCATATTTCAAGGTGGTTTGGTTCCTGGTCAGTTTTAACCTAATGTGTTTGTCAGGTTTGGTGGTACTGGTATTTGGAGAGTTTACATCAGTTTTGGGTAGGATTTTGTTTATGACATGAAATGGGACCAGTAGCGTACATGTGCTGTAGTTACCGTCACATTAACTTGTGTTTCTCAGATGGTACATTATACATGTACATGTATTTTGCCTTGCCTTGAGCACTTCACAACCAGCTTGACCAGCGCTTTGTGTGTATCAATGTAAAGTCAATAAGTGGATTGAGACCAGAGATTGAGTTCAGGTTTGAAACAAAAATCAGTGCCCATTTTAATGTCAAAATTATTGACCGGTGAATTTTCTTCCATCAATTTTTGACGGCAAACGGTCATTACAACTTCATATGAATGCGTAGCGTAGTGCTCCACAGCGTCATTCAAATTTCAGCCTTTATGCCTGTCAGCAAGTACAAAATTTTTGGGGTGTTGAAAAACTTGAAAAAATTTCCTAGAAATTTACAAGTTTAGGCACATGCATTACGCTACTAACTTGAAAAGCCCCCTTTACATATGTGCCTTGCTTTGTCATAATGTTTCGGATTGGTGTGGCCAGTTCAACCTGACCTGATGCACAGCATTATTGTACTCGCATAAACCCTCCTATACAAAGATGCAATCTGTGCCAAGTTGTCGATCAGTCAAAAGCAGTCAAGTTACATATGATAAACTTGGATGTGTATGGACTGTAGCGGGAGAAGTGAAAGTAAATTTTGACTGGCTGTTACTATCACAGCAAAAGGAGGGTTTATCTGAAAGCAAAATACAAGATATTAATGCAAGGGGACCAACTTGAGTAAAACTCAATGCCTGTTATGACCCTGTCAATGCAAATTACATGTAGTTTGACCGAGCATTAACAGACATGATCAGAGTCATCAAATGTCTCAACCTTTTGAAAATGCACTCTAAAGCTTCAATGAAATGAATCTCACCTCTCCAATACGGGTGATTCACAGCAGTGCGCCTCCAAAAGTGTTGACCAATCGCAGTGCGCGAAATCTGTTGACCCTTTCCGAACACGCAGTGGGTTGACAAATTTCGTGCATTGTGATTGGTCGACGCTTTTTAAACTTTTGGAGGCGCACTGTTGTGAATTGCCTGTATTATTTAGAAAAAAGGGCACATTCACATCCAGATTCCCACTGGAAAACAAACATTTGTCATAAAGAGTGGAGACTGCCATCTTTTTGCAATCGGGCGCATGCAGTCAAGATGGTTCAGGTAGCTAACGGTGCTGCATGCCATATTTATACTTTGTTGCTTAAAATTCGACACTCAAAGTTGTTTGGTGACCAAATGCTTGAAAAGGTACAGTTGTGCCAAATTAGCAAGTGACATGCCTGCATTTGACAGTTCTATCCCCTCCGTACATGTATTTGGTTGCCATGGCATTGTGGGATATTGTGCTACGAAATGGAATTTCTAAAGTAGCATCTTGAGAGAGTCCATCCCTAATTTTATTTTCTGCTGTCATCAATTTTTTCCTTTCGGGAGCATGCTAAGGATCTTACAAACTACCAGAAGGGGGATGTACATGTAAATCCTCCTTTGCCCATGTACTATTAAAAAATTCAAAAATTTGAAGTGTTCAGTCGCATAAGTACGCTATCATGAATGACTGGAAATGACCAAGGTTTAATATTGAACGACTTTGCACATGTTGCACCCTACATGTACAAGTTGTAGAACAGTGTTAAGTTTTTGGAGGCTTGTGCAGTCTACAAGTGCATGCAAAGAGACATGTACATGTAACGCACTGTTCAATGCATAGACATGGTGACATGCTGACTGAGGAAGTTGTGTTCCTGTATTTCTAGTTCCTTGTTCCTGAATGGAAACACATCCATAGGTAAAAAGAATTCAGGTTGAGGGTACTCAGCTGTACTGTTAAAAATGAAGGTCATCATGCATGACTTTACCTGTCGTGTAGTTGAGGTCAATTGCTTATGATGATGCTTTCGCAATGGAAATAAAACAGTAGAGATCCATTGAAATAGATTTGGTTGAGTGATTCATGTGGGTCTTAAGGGCATTGCAATTTTATGAACAGATGGGCGTGACTGAGAAAAAAAGACAAGCCCTTTGAACAAAATGGAAAGAGGAAGTCCGTGTGGGTTTTTCCTGTATGTATTCTATGCACTTTTTAAAAATGTGTATTTTAGCTCTCCCCGGATATTTCCCTTCACGGATACTGGCTCTATATCATTATATGTACACAGAACTGTGTACACACCATGTCTTCCCACAAGCAGTGTTCCCCAGATGTACATGTAGCTTGGCAGCTTTGCTCATCTCCCACTCTGTTTAAAAAGAAGTCACCAAGCTGTAAACACTGGCCCATTGTGCATTCACATTCTTGAGTATTTCATCTGAGCTACCGGGTAACATTATCTTGATTAAAGAAAGCAGTCTGTGAAAGCAGAATGTGAAAAATTGCTTCAGATTTTTACTGGAAGTGCACCATTACCATGAAACCCCCCCCCAAATTATTGGGGGAATACTGAAGGTGTTTAAATGTGGGCCATAAACTCCATGCTAATGTCCCCCCCCTTATTTTTTTCATTAGTTCCCACCAAGTTTAAATGTACTGGTACATGTACCGGTATGGTAAAGCATCATTAATTTAACCCTAACCTCCTAGGGTGTACGTAAAATCATATTGAAATCAGAAGGTTTGATGTACGGGTATGTCTGTACATGCACCATATGAAGATTGGAAAACCTTGAGCACTATGAGATTGTTACATAATGACAACATGAGTGTTTGTTTTCATTCTCCTGGTATTTCATGTACATGTACTGGTAAATTGTACATGGGCCAAATATAACATGGACATGGAATTGTTAGTTTCATATTTTGTTCATTACGAAATTAGATTGTTTAAACCATTTAGTCACTCAGCACCAATTAAGTACATACATGTACATGTATGTACTACATCACCATTAGGTAAATGTATCAATACACTGTACATTTACAGTAGTGTACAGACAGTACTGATTGTGAAATATCTAGTGCTTGAACAGAAAGTATCCATTTGACTTCTTCAGGGCTAAGTCATCAGGGCAGACTTCCAGTCCAAATACCTGACATACCACAGCCAGAACCCTGAAAGTTGAGACAGTCCCTAGCCTTAGTTTGGCTTTGGCTTACTGGGGATTCCGGGGAGACTGTTAGACTTTGTGTCAGTCTGCATAGGCTGTTCCCCAACAAACCCTTTCTGCATTCCATACTCGCTTGATGTGCAGTTGCAGGCCAATGGATGTTTGAGGGTTTTGTGTACACAAGAATTGTCCTGGTTCCAACATGGCACCAGAATGCATATCGCCCAGGATGCTGACAGTGTCCATATGTCGCAGCACATGTAAACATGAACATGTACAAAATGTTCATATACACCAGGGCATGAATACATGTACATGTACGTTGTAACCAGCTTGTAGGGTACTTACATACATGTATTTTGTAACCAGTTCAGAATTTTGCAAGTCTATCCAAGAGGTGCTTCTGCCCATGTGCTTGGTGTCCTTATATGTGCAGTGTTCTCTGCATGGCATTCTGTACATGTATAAGATACAGTATTGTCTGGTTACGATTTTTTCTACAGCTGGACGTAGAAGGAGAGCGAGACGAGCTTAATCATGTAGATATTGCTGTGTGATCGAATTCGTACCAGTAACTTTCATGCTGTTGTTGGGTTTAGGTGGAATGGAAGTTGGAACCTGAAAGTGTGACCTCACTGTTGAGGTGACCCTCGCCTTATCAGTCATTGTCAGTGATGGGCTTAAAAAGCACTAGACGTGAAGATGATCATGGTACTGACCACTTTTAAGACTCTGTGGTTTCTGTTCAGTTATTGAGACTCTGAATCCAGGCAAGCCACAGTATGTTTGAAGTCAAGCGTTAAAATTTAGACAAATTGTCTCAAACAAAATTGTGTAAACAGCGCACACCAACTCGTAAAATGCAGTGGAACACTGGAAATGTACATGCACATGTAGGCCTACATGTACACGTACCGTACACATAAGTGGCCCCCACTGTAGAATAATTTAGAGGGTTTTAAAGATTCAAAGTTGAAAACATTGTTAATACATGGACAGATGCGGTAATGTAAAGTGTATAAGCCTGTAACATTTTCATCCTCACAGCCTCAAAGTAGTCTGCAGTACGTGTAGCTGCGGGGACTCTACAATGTTCCTATAGGATGCAGTGTTGTAATGAGTCACTAAAGGTGGTGACTCGGTTGGAGTTGTGACTCAAAAAACTAATAGTTTAAAAAAAAAAATAGTAAAAAAAAAATAGTTTGCGGTACCCGCTGCTTCACCTGACTCGGACTGGCCAGCCGACCCCGGCAAGCTCGTTGGTCGAGTGCTTAAGACGTCTGCACCAGGAAGCAGGAGGTTGTGGGTTCGAGTCCCACCCGAGTAGGCTTGTGACTTTTTTCGCAAGCTCTCGGACAAGCACTAAGCATACAGTGTTTATTATTGGGACTCCAGTCAGACAGGAGTCGAATCATTACAAGGATGTCAGATTTTTGTCATTGCTTCAAGTTCAAAAACCTGCTTTAGTCTGCATATTGCAAGAGGCCAAGAAGTTGAAAATCCCCAAACCATTTGTTGCCAACAGGAGTGAGGGCACTGTGGTATTGCGTTAGTGCCTCAATTTATTTTGACTGTAAATGGTGAATTCCAATATGCCTTTTCATCAGTTCAGCTTGTCCGTTCCAATTGCCCAGGGCTTGTACTGTGCAAGCACAGCTCTTGTTACTGCCCGGCACCCCCTGAATTTAAAACTGTAGGCAAAAATGCTCTTAGTTTTACCTGTGCAGTTACTGCCAATTAATTAGCGGAAGCTAAATGCTAGGAGCTTTTCCTGCATGTACTACCGGTACATTTAATTACAAAAGTTTATTCATGTTTTGGTTTTTGATTTTTTTTTTCTGTAAACCCCAGGTTGCAGTGAGGTCAGTAATTTACACAGTTAAAAGGAAACAGTTTGCAAAGATACAAGCTGGTGTGAGCTGTCAAAGACTGTCAGCAAAAGGGGAACATAGCAACATGTACTGTACAATAGTGTGACAAAAACCAAGTCCAAAACACACAAATGCAAATGTAAATTGTGTACCGAGTCTAGCCAAATTCCAGGTTTTTTTGGTAATGTACATGTGTTTCACACACGTGCGCGGCGTCGGTATGGTACGTGTCTTGTATACATTACACATAGCATGCACTCACTCATGGCATACAAGTAGAGGTATTGCTTATTGTGTAGGCCTACATGTACATATGCAGTACTTGTTCAAAATTGTACTGGTATACATGTACAATGGACATGTACATGTACATTTACTTGTACATGTACATGTACGTTCATCACAAGTCTTGTCTGTGCCAGATGTTGCCTCCCCCTGTGTCTTGGTTCATCTGTCAGGGGAGTTATGATTCATCTTTTGACAGCTCAGCTTGATGGTATTGTACCGGCATGTCTACATGTAATTTATTGATTCCGCATTTTCTTGTCTGAAGCAAGGATTTTTTTTGCCGTGCTGATCATGTCAGCCTTTTGTACTTCATCAGTTTCATCATGGCATAAATGAATTCCATTTACAATGTTTGTTTTTTTCATGTGATGAAGTTTCTTTCTATTTTTTTTGGGAGGGGGGAAAGGTTGGGAGTTTCTGGTTTACAAGTTAATGCACCTTTGCACTTTGTACTGTTCCTTGCTCTTTGGCATACATGTATGCAGCACTAACAATTGCTGGCTGGTAAGTGAACAGTACTGAGCACAGAATGTACATGTACAGTATGTAGTACTAACAAGTGCTGGCTGGTTAAGTGAACAGTACTGAGCACAGAATGTTTATGTACAGTATGTAGTACTAACAAGTGCTGGCTGGTTAAGTGAACAGTACTGAGCACAGAATGTACATGTACAGTATGTAGTACTAACGAGTGCTGGCTGGTTAAGTGAACAGTACTGAGCACAGAATGTTCATGTATTGCAAGCTCCCAGACTGGTTTTTGCCTTCGTGTACACCTTTATCACTGTATAAAGAATTACAGCAACAAAGTCTATGATTTCAGTTTTTTAGCTGGTATTGCCCAGGACATCGATTAGCTCTTACTGGGGAGTGTTGTAAACACGTACAGTTGTTGAATTAAACACTCAATATATACCACTACCTGCACCAAACCTGGGCATACCGGTGCATGTACATGGACATGTACATGTATGTCGGAACTTGGATGTTGGTTTTGTGGAGCTCATATGTACAAAATCCTGTATAGTAGAGATACATGTAGTATTACATGTACATGTACCGGTACCCAGAGGAAGATGTACATACATGTACATGTTCACGTATATGTACATATGTACATGTAGGTGTACTGTACATATCCCGTTACTTCATTGTCTCCATGTACATGTACATGTACCAGTAGTACATGTACTTCTGCAGGGCTGCTAAGTACTGGTACTTTGTACATGAGCGTGGTTCACTTGAACATGTTGAAGTTGAAACCGTGCACGTGGGAGGGCAGGCAGGCAGCAGGCAGGCAGGCAGGCATTTTATTTAGCACACTGCTAGGATCCTGCGGTTGCCCCATGTAAGACTAAAATAGTGTCTGATTTTCCAAATGCTAATTGAAAGTAACACCTTAGCTGGAGGGTTGCGGACAATTCAATAGAGCCGTGGGATCGCATTAGATCGGGCGATTGCATCTGCCGACATTTAAGAGGGAAATTAAGTCGTTTTGATCACGTAGGCGACTTCTGTTGAACTGGAATATTTAGCCTGGAATGGTGCATTAAGGCGTTTATCACCTAGACTTCCTCTTGAAGTTTTGTAAATTGGCTGGCTAATCGTAGTGGGTATGGCATGTGTGGGTGTTCGTCATGACACGTTTATAGTTTTTGTTTTATATTTCCGTCTGAGATACATGTACATATATTTTCAAATGCACATGAACATGTACTAGAACTGTGTATGTGCATGAATTTCCTGAAGTAAACCATGGATACCCATGAGAAACCACTTTTGTATGGTTAGTCTATCATGTACATGTATGTATATGTGCATTTAGCTTTGCAGACATTACACTGTACATGTATTTGTACCTCCAACTGAAAGCTTTGGTTTTACTCATTGTCCAGATGTCCTCAATTATGACACAAATTCCCCATGAATCATTCATACTTTGGTTCTGCCTTGATTTTTATGGACATGTGAGACAGAGGGCAATCATCTCTGGAATTTCTCATGATCTGCTCGTACATGTATAAATGTACAACCCCTACATTTGAATTTCTGGTTTCAGCTACCAAACTTTAAGTGCTAGATGCAGTCTGCATAGTGTTAAGATTTTCGGTACATGTAGTTAATCGTCCACGTACGTTAATTTATATACATACATGTACATATGTGCGAATACATTTTTGCTTATTTATCCATTAATATCCATTTTCTAATAGACATGTAAAGCAAGCTGCATGGAATTCCAACAATTTTTCAGTTTGCAAATGGAATTCCCGATCCTCATGAAAAGCATACAATTCTTTTACGATTCTTTGTAACATAATTTTGCTCGTACACTAATGTTCTGTCTGGCCCACATGTACCATTACAAAATACATGTAATTGGTTTTATTCTTTCTTGCCATAAAGGTAGAAGTGGTTGAACCCACCAGCCACAATGGCGTCCAAGATTTCCTTGAAGATCAACATTGTGGCTGCCAACAGCACCAAGACTATGCAATTTGATCCCACGGCTCTCGTCTACGATGTCTGCCGTATCATACGGGAGAAGAATCCAGAAGCAGCCGCTTTACAGGGGCAACGTAAGTTGATACATTGATTTTAATAAATGTGGGAGCCCCCGCCCGGAGTGGTGATTACTACTGGGGTCATTCCATACTTTTTGGGATCAATCTCACAGATTTCATAAAATTTATTACGTTTTGTGAGGCACCTTTAATACCCACATTTTGGTGCTATAGGTCATGTGGTTTGTGAGCTACTGGTCATTGAACTCTGACCTTTTGATTTGTCCTCTGTAACTGTGAATGCCTGTATTGGCAGAGCGGAATGTAAGAGATTGATTTGACATGGAATTATTCATCCTCAATAGGTTGTCCAAGGTTGGGTCAAGCTCAGGTTCAATACATGATCTACAGTGTACATGTACAATGCACTTCCACAGACTTCTGGGTCTTTGAGTTTGTTTCTGCATTCAATTTGGGACCCTGAACAATAGAGGACAATAAGGTCCCCGATTGACAGAGGGTCCCCGATTGACAACTGTGTGCAAAACATATGGGTGGTCTTCTAAAAAAGTTAAAGTACAAACAAAAGAGGAACAATAAGGGGTCCCCAGTTGCAGGTAAATACACACTTGTGTGTGTGGACGGTACACAAAGAAAACTGTAGATCCAGGCACGCTTGACGGTTTGACTGTCAGCTGCACCTGTGTGCACACTGATAACCAAATGAGTCCGTACATCCCCTGATGCGAAGTGGTTGAAAAAGATCCATACATGTACTGGTACATGTGTGTAAAACCAACTAGTTACATGTACATGTGCATGCTATTATTGTATCTGATGTCCACATGCATACATGTGGTATTTTCTGGACACAGACACGTGTGTATATGTGCGTGCACATGCACATCTACACATGTATATGTTGTGGTAAATCCTCTTTCATTAAATGAAGGTTACATTTGCAGAGAATACACATGTTAACACAGTATTCCTTGATAATAGCAAACAAAACTACATGTATGTGTGTAACGGACATGTGGATTGTATTTCTTGCTAATCTAACCAACTCCTCCTCCAGAGTGTCTCATCCCTCTTTCGTCTTCTTTTTTTTATACCCCAACCATCAGCTCCTCCTCTTGAGTGTCTCATCCCTCTTTTGTCTTCTTTTTTTTATACCCCAACCATCAGCTCCTCCTCTTGAGTGTCTCATCCCTCTTTTGTCTTCTTTTTTTTATACCCCAACCATCAGCTCCTCCTCTTGAGTGTCTCA